GAACAAGCATGTTAACATCTTTACGTCCCTCAATAAGGCTCAGACGTCTATGAAACGAGTCTTCAGAGGCTACCCCAGTCGGGGTGTTTTTGGATGGGCTAGCCGCTACAGGGGCCGAGCAGCCAGACGATTCTGACCTTCTGGCCCCCGGTCACACAGACCACAGCCTTTCTACCCGGAAGTGGGCTTCAGGCAACCCTTCTCCTACACCCGAGGAGCAGACCGAGGCAGAGGACCTCGTAACCGTGGCAGAGCACGCTTCCCCACAGGTAAGCAGTCTAGTGTCTCTAGTTTCACCTACCCCTTACACTGCAGGCCGTATTGCTCTGTCTTTTCAGAACTGGACGACCATCTCCACGGACGCATGGATCCTCCAGACAGTTCGGGGCTACGTCATCGACTTCGTAGAAGCCCCTTACCAGCTCGCTCCCCCGCATCCCATTCAATGCTCCGAGGAGGACCGCCGCCTAATCGACGGCGAACTACGGGAGCTCAAATCGAAAGGAGCGATAGAACCGGCTCACGACGGAAAGGGCTTCTTCAGCAACATTTTCCTAGTAAAAAAGAAATCAGGAGAATTCCGTCCGGTTATAAACTTGAGGGGACTCAACGCTTTTGTAACATACAGGCACTTCAAGATGGAAGGCATTCACCTGCTGAGAGATCTACTCCAAGACAGGGACTGGTTTACGAGACTGGACCTCAAAGATGCTTACCTGTCGGTCCCCGTCCATGGGTCTTGCCGCCAATTTCTCAGATTCCTATGGCAAGATCAACCCTGGCAGTTCACATGCCTCCCCTTCGGCCTCAGCTCAGCGCCGTGGTGCTTCACCAAGCTCCTCAAGCCGGTAGTATCACAACTACGAACTCAAGGAATTCGTTGCATTATCTACCTGGACGACCTGCTACTATTTTCCTCAGACAGGTACAGTCTAACACAACACACACGATATACCATTCAACTCCTGACGTCCCTAGGCTTCGTGGTGAACTACCAGAAATCAGAGCTGCTCCCAGCCCAGACGATACACTTCCTGGGCTTCGAGATAGATTCCAAGACCAGCAACTTACGGCTCCCAATCTCAAAGATCACAGCCATAAAAAAGGAATTACGCAGAGTCATCCGCTGCAACACCATTCCACTCCGCAGCCTGGCTCGAATCGTGGGACTACTGTCCGCATCTATACAGGCAATCTTCCCGGGCCCACTACACTACAGGGCGATGCAACGGCTGAAGGCCTCCTTCCTCCGTCAGAACCCTTCCTACGACCAAACCATTCCGGTAACGGAAGAAGTCAGGGAAGAACTTGGATGGTGGTTGGACAGCATGGAAGCTTGGAACGGCCGAGCCATCTTCGGGAATGCACCCGACATAGTTCTGGAATCAGACGCCAGCCTGTGGGGCTGGGGCGCCACAAGCGAGGGCAGATCAACAGGAGGCACTTGGACTTCCCAAGAAACCAACCTTCACATAAACTGCCTAGAACTCCTAGCGGGGTCGTTTGCGATCCGCAGCTTAGCGAGAGACCGGACAGACTGCTGCATCCTCCTCCGGATGGACAACATCTCAGCGGTCCGCTACATCAATCGTCTGGGAGGAGCCCGATCCAGGCTCCTCTCAGAGATCACGAAGGAAATTTTCGACTTTTGTCTACCCCGGAAAATCTCCCTCATGGCAGAATACCTCCCGGGAGAAACGAACCTGACAGCGGACTGGTTTTCACGCCACTGGCGAGACAGCAGCGACTGGAGACTGGACCCAGCAATCTTCCAGCGCCTCTCGGTCAGGAGGGGTCCCCTCCACCTGGACCTCTTTGCGTCACGCAACAACAGGCAGACAGACGAGTACTTCAGCTGGCTCCCAGACCCAGAGAGCAAGGCAGTAGATGCGTTTCTCCAGCCTTGGCCACCCTTGGGGGCGTACGCCTTTCCCCCATTCGCCATGGTAGCCAGGACGATGCAATACCTGAAGACCCAACGCGGATCCCTGCTCCTCATCTCACCCCTGTGGCAGGGTCAACCATGGTTTCCGGATCTCCTAGCGTCATCCTACAGAGATCCCCTCCTCATACCGTCCTATCCGATGCTCCTTACGGACCCGAGAGGGAATCAACACCCGCTCATCCTGGAAGACCGTCTCACGCTGGTGGCTTGGACGCCTTCAGGGGAGCCTGGCAAACCGAAGAGTTATCGCAAACATCTCGAGATCTCCTATGGGACTCATGGGCACCAGGAACCAGACGATGTTACTTATCGGCATGGAGCTCCTGGTCTACTTGGTGCAGTGAGCGGAATTTCGATCCCTTTACTGCACCTATAACAGCCATCATGAATTTTCTCTCTCACCTCTTCTCCAAGGGCCGATCTTATCGATCCCTCAACGTCGTGCGCTCCGCAATTTCAGCGGCCCACGTTCCGGCCCAGGGGATCCCCGTCGGGAAAGACCCGTTGATATGCCGCCTCCTCAGGGGCATCAGACTTCAGAGGCCTCCGAAACCTAAATACTCCCGACTATGGGACGTCGAAAACGTCCTACAGTTCCTGAGGGACTGGCCAGACAACAACAGACTCTCGCTGCGGCAACTATCAGCCAAACTGACGCTCCTACTTTGTTTGGTCTCGTTCCGCAGAGTTTCGGACGTACGAGCTTTCGACATCGATGCCTTTTCGGTCTCCCCGGAGGGAGTTACCTTCCAAGTTTCACGCCGTACGAAATCCGACTCCACATCGGTCTTCTACCCCTTTTTTCCTACAGAACCGCTTCTCTGCGTGGTATCTACCCTACATCGGTACGTAGAGGTCACATCCCGTTTGCGGGTCTCCCCTACGGGCCAACTCTTGGTGTCCTACGTTAGACCACACGTTCCCGTCTCTACCACCACCTTGGCCAGATGGGTAAGATGGATTCTGTCCCTGGCGGGCGTAGAGGAAACCTTCGGAGCCCACTCCGTCCGCGGGGCGGCAGCTTCTTCGGCTTTTACCGCAGGCGCATCCCTGGCAGACATCCTACGAGCTGCAGATTGGTCACGAGAATCGACCTTTCGGACCTTCTACTTCCGACCGAACTCGGGGGCAGCCACGTCTCTCCTGCTTCAGCGTTAAAAATGCAAAATATGAAGCCTCCTGTCATGTGGTAAAATTGAAGATTATGCTAGCGCTAGTGTACTTATAATCTTAATTTTATGACAGGAGGCGAGTATTTTCCCACCCTCCGCACCCTTGGGGGATACGGATCCAAGTAAGTATACTTACTCTGTGTATTTCCTTACTTCTTCTATCTTCCTACTCATCTTGTATGACTCAGGCTTGTACCTTGTTTAGTTAAATCTTTGTTATTGTTTACTGTCATATTTATACTAGTTTTCATCTAGTTTTACATCAGTTCGGTGGAAATTGTGTTGGGTTTATTACATTACCGCAAACAGTTGCCAGATCGGTACCTAACCTTCTCCACGTTCTTTTTCAGCATAACTTCGGGACATTACATCTTATGCTCAGGATGGACACGTTTGGGCCGTCCTTCAACCACTAGGACTTCGTATTTGGAAAGTCACCCGTTGGTGCATGTTTCAAGACTTTATGTTTCAAGACTTTATCCGTTTTTCAATATTTGTCTCTGATGTCGCTTTCGAAAGAGGGGGAGGAGCCTCATCACTGTGAATACTATACCTCCTACTGCATTTTTGATTGGTTAATGTTTTCACTTTTCTTTACTGCTATGTGGAGTTAGTAAAGAGAGTTATATGCAAAATACTCGCCTCCTGTCATTACTAAAATTAAGATTATAAGTACACTAGCGCTAGCATAATCTTCAATTAACCGCACAGACCTGGCATGGTATTGTTGGTGGGGCTGGACAGCCTGGCCAGCTGCAGGTCCCATCCAACGCTTTTGCAAGGTCTTTGTTGCAGTGATGAGGAGATTTGATGGAAAAGTACAGACTTTCCATCCCATTGGTAAACTTATAAAAGACGAGAAAACTTGGCACTTGCTTGGAGTACTACCCACCTGTAATACGGACGGCTATTGCTGGTTCTGCTGATTCCCGGTAAGAGAGGGTCCCCTTCAAGCCTGACTGCCAGAAGTTCTCTCAGTCGAGTGCCTCAAGCTTCTCTTATGGTGATTGTGACGAACTGGACATCGCACGGGTTCTTGGAGGGGCATATTTGCCAGCCTGTTACCGTGTGACTATGGCCCCTGTGATAAAACTTGGTTTAAATCACTGTGTATGCCTTTTTGTACTTGTATGTCCACAATTTGAACTTTTGAAGCGGCACTTCGAATTCCCGAACTCCCGAAGCCATTTGAAGTGCCAATCGGCCACGAGGTGGTGGCCATCTTGTTCGCAAGGACCAAAACCACGAATAGACTTCAGGGGGACTTAGCTGCGAATGCCCTGGAACTATTTTCAGTATGAAAACCTTGTGGTTCCCGGTTGGTCCTCCAGCGGCACTTAGCCGCGATTCTATGGAACTATTTTCGGCTATGGGACCATGCCTGCGGTTGGTAAAAAATATGACTTCCATAAAATTTCTGATAACTGATTTCTGATAACTGATCTGGGTGAAGTTTGGATATGTTGGTCACCCAGATCAGGGCTTGTGGGGATACTGTGTGTTTTGGGGTACTTTGGGACTTTTTAGAAATGTGTGTTTTTGTGTTTGGAGATAATTGAGTTTAGTATAGTAGTTGACTCAATTATCTCCTAATTAAAGGGGAAGGCTTATTTCATTGTATGTGGGTGTGTCATACATTGTAAATGTGCTATCATTTACAATGTATGACACTGTGTCCCTGTCCCCAACAAAGTACACCTTGCTTGGGGATTGTCATAAAAGGCCAGCGTGGCACCATTAAAATTCAGTTTCTGCTAAACCCTCATCAAAGCTATATCACTAGCTCTTGTAAGAGCTTCACAGCTATACTCTCTGGAGGAGAGGCCCTCCCACTGAGTCTCTGGATCCAGGAGTTTGGTCCAGAATGGGAAGGGACGGCGAGACCCCAACCAAACTGCGGCGGTTTGTGGGGTCTACGGTGCTTATGGTGTCCAGTGCGGTGCTTATGGTCCTCAGCATCACCTGGGAAGCATCTGTTGACGGAGGTGTCCAGTTGGGGTGCCAGGTGATCTGTCACAGTGATGTATACTTAAGCTGATATCTAGATAATTGAGCTGTTCCTTTAAGCTGAATGTGCACTATAGATTCAATTATTACTTATTAATTAGTCAATAACTCTGTTAGTCAATAAAGTTTGTATTGATTATTTACAAGTACATGGTGTCAGTGTCTTACCCTTTCTCAAATACTCAATTCACTCATCCCAAATAGGGTTTTGGTGCCCACCAATATCTTTAAAAACCTTAGGGTAATTGATTATTGCTTTCTTTTTATATCGGCACTTAATGAATTTAAGGCACAACACATACATTTATATTTTTCCTCACCCATTCTTGCACTTCAGTAGGAAGTCCATTGTAAACGTGCTCCAGCATAAACAGCTGGAGGATCTCTTCGGGAGATTTTGCCTGCTGGGAGTTCATCCAGTTCTGGGTGGCTCTGGTGATGCGGCAGGCCCACTCCACATGAGAGTCCTTCTCCCCTTTCTTGGTCTCCCTGAATTTCCGGCGGTATGCCTCCGGAGTGCCGGAATACCTGATGTGGCGGGACCGCTGCCTGTTAGTGATTTGCTGTATGCCATTCCCTGTAATTTTCCCCTATATAGTGTATTCTTGTGGTTTACCTACCCCCCATTCGGGAGCCCCCATACAAATGAGTTCTGTTCGCCTCCCGAACGGGGGCCACCTTGGTACCCCATTTAGAATGTTTGTTTGGAATGTTCACACCTCATTAGAATGTTCGCACCTAAGTCAATGAGATGTGAAAACCACAAACCGCAAGGTAAGCCTTGGTGCATGCCGACCGTTAAATGAACGTCATTCAGGGGGAGCATTCGCGGATTGCTACCCATCTCGTTCGTCTCCCAAACGAGGACCTACCCAACGCCCTTGGAGTGTCCACAACAATCAATTAGAACATTGGCAACTTGCAACATAAGTGTGAAACCGCAAGGGAAGTAATTGAGTGCTTCCCTGGGTGGCCACCGTTCGTACAGACGAGCGCTGGCCAGGAGGAGCGTTCATGTCCCGAAAGGAGACACTTCCCTTGCCTGGTTTCACCCATGGACCCCGCAAATGGAGACGGTTGTCGTTCTGGTGGTCCCTGAGATTGCTGGGGACACTCTTTGGGGACAATGTCAGTTTGCCGGGCTTTCTGTGCCTGGGAGCCCAGAAGGCGTGATTCTTTTCCGTGTTGGGAATCCCAGGTACAGAGGGTGCTGGAAAGAAGACCTCCTGCCACAGGAAGTGGGAAACCCTGTGCTTGGGTGGCAGGAACTGGGGACAAAGAAGTTCCTGTCACAGGCCCCTGGGAGGACGAGGACCCTGGGAGGGGACACCAAGTGGCGGGAACAAGGGACAAAGTGATTAGGGTCCAGTTCCGTCAATATACAATATTCATAACTTCCAAACCATTCATGCAATTTCCAACAATAAGTTACATATTCTGAACCAGCACAATCAGTATACAAACATATTCAAAAATCATACAATTTGGTCCAGTGGTTCAAAAGATAGGTGGAAGTCCTATTCGACCGACTGCAAGCATGGCTTTCCTGCCCAAAACAGTTCCACAGATTTCGGCTGTGCAGCCGGTCCATCTTCTCCTCTATCTTGGAGATAATTGGCTTATAAAAATACATAATTCCTATTATACTGAACAGAACCCCCACATTCAGCGCTCCGAACAGCGCTCAGATCCCACGAACAGAATAAAATCGCCATGGGGTTAAAGTTTAGCAAGGGCTGATGAGAGATTGAGGAAGGACAAAGCAGCCAGTTTCCCTGGGACAACGCCCTGCTGTAGAAACAATAGACGGGAAAAAGGGGGAGGGGAATAGGCACATTTTCTCATGGAATTAAAGGAGCAGAAAAAGTGTGTTACAATCCAATATGCCCAAATAATGTTTTTAAAGGGCCATACACCCCAGGGCCAATTTCTCCCCAGTAACTGGACGACACACAGTTCTGGAGGTACAACAACCACTTTATTTGCCACACATGGCTTTTAATCATAACCTCATGCAAGGGGTGTAACACACAGCATACAATGTCCCCTCCCAGGATCCTCCCCCTCCCCGGGAACTTAAGCCCACCACTCAAACACAGGGTTTCTCACATCCGGGGACGGGGGGGTCTTCATCCCATGAGCCTCTGTACCTGGGAGACCAAGCGTGGTCTCCCAGGCACAGAGAGCCCGTCTGCAGGAAAATAACTGGTCTCTTTGTCCCAGCGGGCACCGCAAAGCCTGCCAAACTCGCCAGTGCCCCAGAAGTGCCCACATCAATCTTAGGGCCCTTCGCAGCAGTACCTTCCTCGACCAGACTCCGCTTGCGAGGTCTCTGTGTGGAAACCCTGCAAGGGAAGCGCCTCCTTTTGGGACA